CTGTCTGTATCAATGTACATCATCTGGTCCAGCTGGATTTGTAAGGTAGAATTGGGATCATGATGGGGGGGGGGGAAGCATTCAGCAACTAGAGGAAAATTGTATGTTTCATCATTGCTATACTGCACACTGACTGGCTCGTCTCCTCCCCGCAGCCCTTCTGCAAGGGGATGTCAAACTGCCCATAGATGGGCCCTGGGTCCCCACTCCTCACTCCCCTCATTCACAATGTTATGATTTTTTTTGGTCTTTGATGCCTGATCCCTGATCCCTTTGACACCTTGTGATCTCACAGGCTGGTGTGCTTCTTCCATGTGGGTTTTGTTGTTTCTCATTTAGATGGCTGCTAGTTTATCCTCAGTCCTTTAAGACCCCAAATCCTATATCTTTTGATAGCCGGGCACCCTCAGCTTTCTTCACCATACTTGTTTGTGCATCTGTTGTCTTCAGCGATCATGCCAGGAAGGTGAGCATCTCAGACTGCCGAATTGTTAGAACAAAGTGTTCTTGTGTTGTGGGAGTACTTGAGTAGGGGCCCACTGTCCATCTGTTTCCTTAATACTAAGCCTATAAATATATGTACATAGATCTATTTCTCCTTCATCTTATGTAAATATATTTATATCTGTATATGCCTGTATTTAGATCTTTATAAATACCCCTTGCCTCCTAGTTCTTTCCTCAATTTCTTTGTACTTTCCTCTTGTCCCCCTAGCATGTTCAGCTTTCATTTGGGTTTCAGGAATTCCTTTCGGTCACATTGCCCTTGATCAGACCTCCTACATCCTCCTTGCCACTGATTTTTGATCACTTTTTGTTCCCTTGTCCCAGGGTTTGTTAACACCCACTCCCTTTTCCCCGCCTCCCCATTTCCCATGTCCCCCAGAACTGTCATCCCATTGTTCTCTCTTCCAGCTTGTTTATCCCGCCTATCTGTTCTAGGTAGACATGCAGTGACAATTTGCACCATCACAAGACAGAGCACAATGAAGCAACAATAGAAAATAGAACAATAACTATAACAACAACAACAACAACAAAACCCCCTATAAATAGTTCAAGGCCTATTTGTGGTCCTTTGTGAGTGCTTTCTAGTCGAGTCTGATGGGGTGCCATGTCCTGGCCCCACATCTATCCCTGGCATTCTCTGGGGACTTCATTGCTCTGCTCCCCCCACTGTTCTGCTGCATGCCCCCAGAGGCTGGCTTTGGCATAGTGGGCTCAGGACGGGCACAATTCCCACCGTGTGTCTCTAGTGTTGTCCCCAGTGGTGCTATTATTGAGGAACGCTGTGTCCCATGGTGGGGCCGGCCCCGTGGTCGTCTCTGTGCATTCCTGCTCTGAGCAGAAACATTGTCCTCAGGGCTTGGTGAGCCAGGATGTGCTTCACTCTTTTTCCCCCCTCCCCCCTCGTTGGCTCCTGTGTGCTCTATCAGATAAGTCCCTCTCCTTGAGCTGTAGCTTCAGTGCTGTCCTTTGAAGTGAATTCTCCTGGGTGGGGGGTGGTGGGGTGGTGGTGCTGTCCACTTAGTTGGTAATGGGGCCGGCCCGTCAGGCCTTTCTAATCAGTTCCCTGCTTCATGTCAGTGTGTTGCATTCTTGTCTTGGAGCACCGGGTTGAAGTCTGGTCCCTGTTTCCCTGTGGAGACACAATCAACACCCTCCCCTGTGTGGGTTAGTGCTCTGTTCCCCGGGCTACCCATGTCCCCCCCACCCCCTTTTTAGTGGGCTACCATATGTATCCCTGAGTTTAGTCTGGCCCCTGCCATCTTACCTGGACCTCATCCCAGGGACGTATGTAATACAGTAGCTTCTTTCCTATACCCCTTTTGCATTTTTTGAGCTAACCTCAGTGGACTCGTGTTGTACTTGTCCTTTTGTGCTTGGCTTACTTCGCTTAGCATAATTTCCTCCAGTTCTTCCCATGCGGCGATGTATATGCTGCCTTTTAAATGGTTTGATGTACCAAGGGAGATTTGGGTAAAAGTCTTTCTTCATGCCATGATTAGTGTGGTATAATTATCAGTTTTATTTCATTGTCCTTATTTAATAAATAATAGAAATATTTAATGTGGTTTTAAAAATGCCAGCCTCCAAACTTTTTTTTTTTCATGTTATTTTCCTAATTTCTGAAGGAAGGCCACCAAGTTTTCGGCTTTTGATTTGCTGAAGAAATCCGTTGCCTTTACTTGCATTGTTTGGACTGGAGATAAAGCTACAGGACTCCCTTAGTAACTGGAGAACAGGAAACAATTGACACTGTTTCTTAATTCAAGTTGTTTCTGAGACATTTCCCACTCCCTAGTATAATCTAGCTTTCCCATGAGAACAATTTGCTTGCAAATGGTTAGACATGGTAGCCTTCTCATTGGCCCAGATGCAGTGGGGAGAATTTTATGTGCTTTGTAGTGGTTGATGATGATGATTGTGTGTGTGTGTGTGTGTGTGTGTGTGTGTGTGTGTGTGTGTTTGTGTGTGTTTGGTGGAGGGGCTCCTGCTCTGTGTGAAGACACCCCCAGCGTCATCCCAAGCATCAGGGGTTTTCCTTGGAATGCTGAATCAGTCACTTGTCAGCTGTCACCCAGCTGTTACTGGACTCCGGGAGGTTCTCTGCACAACAGGACGGATTGTTGTGATCCGGAAGGGTTTTTATTGGCTGAGCTTTTGGAAGTACTCAGAGATCGCCTGATAACGTGTGTTAGTCTGCAAGCTCCCCTGAAGTCTGTCCAGTTTCTTACCAACATGCAAATCTTCACCGAGATTGGCTAGAAATCACCCCAGGTTTTCTGCATCAAAGGTGGGAATTCCACCACTCAGGTACCTCTGCCTCGCTGCCCCTTCACTGAGGGTTCTGCACACCTTAGTTGGAACCTTTTTCTTGAGAGAGCATTTAATGCTTTTCATTCTGGTTCCTTAAGGACACTCTCAAGTGAATTCTGGTGTGTTTGGATAAGCCTATGGAAAGTAACCGGGGCATTCTGTACGAGGGCTAATGTGTGTGCGTGCATCGCATGTAAGTACATGACATGGCCGTGACACTCCAAAGTTGTCATCTAGGCATTATGATTCCAGAACTGCGAAATGTGAAATAAAACCAATAAATGAGATCATCGAGGCTAATTTTCAGTGAGAAAATGTTCACATTACTTCCGAAATGGTGGTTCCCACATTCAGAAGTTCCGTTGTGTAAAAAGTGAAAGTAAGAGTTTTCCCCGTTGAAAAACAAACAAACCAAAATGATGTAGAACTTTGAATTCCTTTTTTATTCTGTCTTATCAGATTTTGTAAAAATAATACCACTTGTCAGTTTTGCAACTCTTTCCATCTAGAGAGCTGAGAGCATTTCACCATCCTTTTTCCTTATGCCCTTCTCTTCAAGGCAATTTTTGCTGGGCTGGGTTTATTTTTACAGTTGGAACAACCAGTTTTTAGAAACTTTTAGAAACCAACAGAGAAAGATGAGAATGGCACTGTAGCTGACATTCGTTTCAGCTGTTTCCTAGTGTGAACATTTGAGCATTTCTGAAATCTTCTCTCCAAGTCTGTCGTATTTTTTCTCAGTTTGTCCCAGTTCTAAGTCTCTGTTCTGCTGATGGGGAGAAAAAGTTTCACTGAGAAATCCTAGCCCCAGCAGAATGACTTCTTGAACTTTGAGCTAGATCTTTATTTTTGCAGCTCCAAGCACTCCTTTCCCAGCTCCCTTTTCAGGATAATCATAGACTCACGGAAGGTTAGAAGTGAAAGACTCGTTAGAGAATTTCCCAACGTAACTCTCTCAATACATGAATGATGGGGTTGAAGCCCAGAGAGGTGAAGGGACAAGCTCAAGGTCATATAGCTAATAGATGACAGAGTCTGTTCAGAATCATGCAGTTTCAGTCAGGATTACTGAGTGTGGGAGAAGGAGAGGAATGTGTGGCCAGTTGCTTCCGTGAACAACGTCACTATCTCCTTAGCCAGGAGCCCAGAAGAACTGGTTGGTGCCTGGCTATCATTACCAAACAGTTTGATCCAAGACTCCACAGACAAACATTAATCTTAATGCGGAAGAGTGTTTCATGTTCTTGTGGATTCCAGGTTTCCTGGAGCCGTGGAGTTGGATGAACCCTGGCATTATGTGCTGAGATAATATCTAAATTTTACATCAAAACTACCCTTTGCAGTCTACTTAAAACAGTCCAGTGGGTTAGCTTAATTAGCAAAAGATATATGTGCCTTGAACATTATGCTTTTAAAGGAACTGTCTATGTGGGAGGAGCCCCACTGGAGTAGTGGTTAGGTTATGTGGTGGGCTGCTAAACCATGAGGTCAGCAGTTCGAAACCACTAGCTGCTCCAAGGGAGAAAGATAAACTTTTCTACTCCTGTAAAGAGTTACAGTGTCAGAAACCCCCAGGGGCGTTCTACCCTGCCTACAGGGTCACCGTGAGTCAGAATTGACTCTGTGGCCGTGAGTTTGGTTCTTGGTGTAGCTATACGGGGTCAAGTTGACAAAACAACCCGAAAGAGTAGCTGGGAAATGAGGCAGCGAGTGAAGACAGAGGAACAACTCAGAGGACAAGGGTGAGAATGGCTTTAATCAGTGGCACCAAGGGTACGTGGAGAAATTGTTGAATTTATGTGTATTTTGCTATATACATTTTCATAACAACAAAAATAAGTGAAATTACGCTCACCAGGCGGCTTTGAAACGTTTGTGGAAAAAGAAAATTGCAAAGATCATGGAGTTTCCCGTGAATCTCTGACACTCCCTCATTTATAGTCCGTGTGGGTAACAGCGGACTTCATGCACACTGAATCGCAGGGACAACCCGCAGGTTGGAGTACCCTGTCGCTGCCCGGGTATGGAAAGGAAGCCTTCCTCTCCCAGTTTGAGTTTGTCGAACGCGGAATGGTGATGTCAAGGTCACACTCATTTTCTGCCGACCCGTCGGGCTTGTGCAGGTGATAGTCAATGAAGAACCAGATCCAGAATGACGGGGGACTTGTTTTCTTCCGCAGGCCATCACACCATCTACATTGGGGTCCATGTGCCGAAGAGCTACAGGAGAAGGAGGCGCCACAAGCGGAAGGCAGGGCACAAAGAAAAGAAGGAGAAGGAAAGCGTCTCCGAGAACCACTCGGACAAATCGGACGTGGAAAATGCCGACGAGTCCAGCAGCAGCATCTTAAGACCACTCAGTGAGTACTCCCTGCCAGGCGGCGCGTCCCTCTGCCTCAGCCCCACAGCCTTGTGGGGAGACCCTTTGGAGCTTATGGCTGAATGGGGAGGGATGTAAGCAAACCGAGGCGGTCTGCTCTAACGGATAATGCTTGCGAATGTGGCTTTGTGGTACCATCAAGTTGCTCTAGAGGGGCTTCTGTAAAATTCTGGCTAGATCAGGGAAGCATCCAACAATGCTGACCTGTGGCCGTGGATTCCAAATGTTGACTAGTGAAATAGGGTAATGTTACTCTGTAGTTAGCCACGGTTATTATCAGAAGAACAGTCAAGGACTGTTTTTTGGGGGTGGTTGCTGCTTGGAAATCAGTTTTACTGGGATGGTGGGTTAAGATGCGGTTCAGTGCTGGTGACTCGTGGTAACTCCATGGATGTGGAGTGGGCCTGCTCCATAGGCTTCCAGGGCCATGCCCTTTTAGAAGCGCCTCACCTGGCTCGTCTTCAGATGCGCCGTTGGGTGAGTGTAGCCTGCCGGCTTTTTGCCTAGCTGTGAAGCGCTGAATTATTTGCACCACTCGGGAGACCTGATTGTGTAGTGGGTGACGAGAGGGGCCGTTCACCTAAATTTCAGCCATTTGAAGCATCAACTACACTGAGGGATAAAGAGGAGACTGTCTGTTCTGTAGAGAGTTCCGTCTCACGAGTCCGCAGGGGTAGTTCCACCCTGCCCTGTTGGGTCGCTACGAGTTGGAATCGCCTTGATGACAGCGTGTGAGGGGTTCCTAGGTCAAGATAGGGATAGGCATTTATGTCGTTTTATGAATGGCAGTGTTAATAGGTGACATTTAACCAGGTTGTGAGCCAGGTTGGTGATTCCAAGGGGAGTAGTGGAGAGCATCTTATAAGTCAGAGAAGATGTAGCGTGACAGATCCCTGAAAGAGCAGACACGTTAGATAGAAATGTTATTAAAAAAGCCCTAGCAGGAAATCAAAGGAAACCTTTGGGTTGGACTGATAGGGGAGGCTATAGGTTTAGGTACCACTCTTTGTTTCTTTTCGGGTAGAGCACTTTTGGCTGCATTTCAGTAGCCTGGTGGCTGCAGTGAGAACGACTGTGTGCAGCAAATGGGTGACGCTGTAGAAACACATGCCAGTTTTGGGAGATTCCCCAACAGGAGCGAGTTGGTTGCATAGTGACAGCTTCTCCTGCTGGCAGAGAGCAGCGCATTCTTCAGCTCAGTGCTACAGTTGCAGAAATACAGGACCTGAAATAAAATGCATCATAGGTAGCTCAGATAAAGATCAAGTTCCGTCACTGCAGGTGATGACAGGCCAAATTAGAACGAACAGCTCACGGGTGTTGAAAAGTGAGTTTACAGTTAAGCTAAAGAGAGTGTGAAATGTAGCAGTGGGAACCTTTTAAAGTCTCACAATTGGAACTGAGCAAGTGGCCGGGGAAGCTAGAGAGGTGCTGTGCCAAGACGAGCAATGCTGATCGGCCATTACATTTAAGATAAAAGGTTTGAAGAGTGTTTGGAGGTGAGCCACTCCATTCGAAAGTGCTGCAATACATATGAGCTTTCAAAGAGACTGGAGCCCGGGGGAATCACGTTCTGTACTTCTCTTTGCAATGGTTGGAGAGAGACCTTCTGAAAGAGACCCTTCACATACTGATGAAACTAATCAGCTCCGTTTCAAGCAAAGCCCTCGAAGTGCAGATAAAGAAGGTTACATCTCCTAGTGTGGAGGAGCTTCCCTTCCCTTCCAGATACATTATGACTGTTTTATCTTGATTCACTATCTGTTTTATCAGGGCCTGAACCATCCTATGTGGGGTGTGTGTGTGTGGGGTTTGGGTGAAAGGTAACAGAGCAAATCGGTTTTCCACTCGACAGTGGGTACACATTTGCTTCACAATAGGCATTGCAATCCACATAAAGCAACAGCAGGCTTTCTCCTGCCTCCCTGCGCTCCCAGTTTCCGTGGCGGGGTCTTCTCTCCTGCCCCTTCCTGCCTTCTGAGCCAACTCCCCTTTCGCTGTTGTTCGGGTGAGTATCTGAGGCGTGCCTTGTTCGCGGGTGTGACTGCCTCCCAGATGATAAGGAATGGAGAGATCTGGCAGGCACGGAGACGACATGCGTGCCATCGTAGGAGTGCTGTTGAGAAGTATTAAAAAAAAAGTTTATCCTTTTATTCCCTGGGAGATGTGGTAGTCTGTGGTATTTTAGTTTCTCTGTTATACCCTGTGGAGGGTCCTGTGTGGATGGTGCAGTACCAGGCACCGTCTCGCTCTGTTAAACGTGGGGGTCTCAGTGAGTGGAAATCCACTTGTTGGCATTGAGCAACAACAGAAACCTATGTTATGAAGGACCAACTTGTCCGATGATCATGAGGACATTATTAGTACCTTTACATAGGATGCTTGAAGTTGTTGCTGCTGGTTAGTGTGCTATGATGTCCCGTGTCTTGACCCGTTTGACATGAATTATCCCATTTCCCATGAGATTCATAGATATTACCACATGTTCTCTACAGCGACTGATGGAGACCCCTCCTTTTTCCTGGTGCATGTCTATGGGAAGTCAGGGTTGTTGGCTCCAGATGAGAAAGACAGTTACTTCTTATATGGTTTGGGGAAGCCAGTGTTCTGGCGCCAACAGAACAGCCACGTTCTTTGGGGAAAACTCAGCTGATACTTGTCACTTGCATCGTGTTCAAGGATCTAAGGTATGGAATTATTTATGCCCTCAACATGCGGTGTTCCACAGATTTGATCCTCCAGTGTCTGCAGGAGTCGCGTGTCGTCCCATCATTTGTAACAAGCACACATACATGGAGTAACTCGGCGAACATCGTCTCCGCTTCTCTCCTTGCTCTTGTCCCCAAAGGAACTCCACCCAGGACTTCTGTTAGCACTGCTTGCACACTGACTGGGACCTATCTGTCTTGAACCTACTGAGCTGCCCTTCATTTTGGGACCCTAGCATCCTCATCCCATTTTGCTGCCCTTCGTGTTTAGGCCCATAGCATCCTCATGTCAGCCTCCCTTTTCCAAAACTTTTTTCAGTGATGCGTGGAGGGCAGCCATTCTGTTCTTGCTACCCTGTAGAGACGGCTCCGTTTTGCACCACGGCACAGAGTCTCTCTTGTATTACTCGCTCCTGGATCGTTCTTGTCTAGGCAAGAGGAGTTTTCAGTTCAGTGCAGCCAAAGCCTCTTCTGCCCCAGGGCTGTTGCACTTGTATGCAGTCTGTGCCCGTAAAAGAGTCAGCCTATTTTTGTACGGCTAGCTCTTCTCTCCTTTTAGGCCCCAACTTTCAAAGACCACCTCTTCAGAGCCCTTCACTTACAGCTCTCTAAAGCAGCTTCCCCCATGTTATTCTCTTAGCTCCTTGTTTGTCTCCTTCTCAAGATGCGTTTCAACCTGTGCTTCTGTGAGCTTACGTTTTTGTCTTTCATGCATGCGAGGTTGTAAGCGCCATGAGAGCAAGATCAGGTATGTCTCTGCCACCCAGCACAGGGTTAGGCGTGTTGACTATGTTTAATACATTTTTATAGAGCAGTATTGACGTGAATGGCTTACTATAAAGGAAGGGAGAAACATTGCTTTAATGGACCTAAATATTTCCCTCATTCTGGGTAATGATTAAACGGATTATCTTGTTTTGCTTGCACATTACCTTTATATTTCCCCTCCCTGCTGCTTTCCCCCATCAAAGGAGGCTTGGTGATACGGTTGGTTAAGCCTTGGACTTCTAACCACAAGGTCAGTGGTTCAAACCCACTGCCAGCGTGTGGGAAATAAGCTATCTATCCCCATAAAGATTTACAGCCTCAGAAACCAAGGTCAGGTTGAGTCAGAATTGATTCGAAGGCAGTGGGTTTGGTTTGGTTTTGGCATTTCCTCTCTCACCACATAAATTGCGGCCCTAAACTTTAATTATTCTACTTTGGAAAACACCTCATTACTTTAACTGCTTCCAGAGTGATCTTCGGTCTGGGTAGAGGACTCCCAAATATGTTGAGTTGCTTGTCGTCCATAGTTGATGGAAGAACTCGGTCCACAGGGCAGGTGGGCTCATCATGGAGCCTTAAAATAGTCACTCTCTATGTAGAGCTTGGGACGTCAGCTGCGGCAGTTACAGGAAAGAGGCAGGGGATTGCATAGTGAAGGGCATTTGTAAGAAGAGATAAGCCAGACATTTCCAGTATAAGCACATCAGGAAGACGAGATCATGAATAGATTCGTTTAGCTTACAACAGAGATGCTCTTTATTTTATCCATGGCATTGGTATGGAGACAAGGTTTTTTTTTAACGAAAGACAAGGTGTTTTTTTTAATAAAAAGAAAAAAAATGTGCATTTTGGTTCTTTGCCCTTTGGAGCTTTGAGGAGAAGTCTGGAGAGCTTCGTTTCCCTCCCTCAGTTCCACCGTGACTTCAGGTCCTTACACACCTTCTTCTCGGTGTGGTGTCGGAGCGGGTGGCTGGCTCTCTTCAGGACACAGGAAGGAGATGCCGGGAGAACCGTGGAAGAGCGGGGAGGGAGGCTGGAGAAGAAAGTGAGGTGGAGGAGCAAGCAGGAGGAGCGACAAGGGAATGAGGAGGTGGTGTGGAGTGGGCGGTGGAGGGAAGAGTTAGATTGTGTTCTTTCTGAAAAAGAATCCTTTACCTCCTCCACTGGCACTTCTGTCCCCCCCCTGAGTTAGCAGCTGCTGTCATCTGAGGGTTGCCCAGAAAGTGGGGGTGCAGGGCGGCGGCAGTCTTGACTAAGCTAGGCTTTGGGAAAATGGCACGGCTTCTCATCATAGTTGATTTTGGCGTCTGAGTCCCTTCCTTTGTTAGTGTCTTGGGGCACTTGTGGGAGACTCACCCTGGCGATGTGTAAAATGTTGGGAGACACAGTTACATACAGAGCATCTTGTGCAGCATATTGATCGCATGCATAATAGATTTCTTTCTTTTTTTTTTATAATGGATTTCTTGACAAGCTTCAACACGCACCTCTCACTCACACCACA